ATCCACTCGCCCCCTTCGTTGGCATGCCCATTGTCCAACTCTCTAGCATCCCTCCTGCTCGGCCTTGCTGGATTGCAAAACAGCTTGAGCCCTTCAGCTCTAGCTTTGACGTCCCAAGATTTGATGTCTGTGCGACCAATATGCGTCTCAACGAAACAGTAGTGCTGGATGGAAGCCTTCGTCTGGGTCACATGTTTCCAGATCTTGTCTCCCATGCACGTAACATTGCCAAAAAGAATTGTAGTAAAACTCGCTGCGTCTTCCCCATCGTCTGGTAGCCCAGCTGGGGCTCCTCGTGAGGACGGGGCATCTGCAGCATCAGGTGTAAAGGACAAGGTTGGCCAGGTAGTAGAGGTCGCTGTGCTCGCCGACGTTCTGGCTGACATCGTCGGGGAGCGGGACCTGCGGTCGGGTCACGCAGAGTCGGGGGCACCGACTCCCTTGCCAAGTCCATCCTTGGCGCTAGCCTTGCCCTTGCCCAAGCCCATGCCCTTGGCCTGCTGGGCTGCCGCGAACTTGGCTCTCGAAAGCCGTTTCGCCTCCTCCTGAATACGCTTCTCCATCGCCGCCTCATCAGCTGCCTTCTGCTCCTGCGAAGTCTCCGTGGTTGCAGCCGCGTCGGTAGCACTGTCACCTTTAGTATTATCAGTATCACCTCCACCTGTTGCTTTAGCCGAGCCATCATCACTGCGCCGCTTCTTGAGCACGCGCTCCTTGATAGACTGTCGTAGTTCCTCAGCACGTGCCAACCAAGCCTGGACCTGGTCCTCCTTGGTCTTCAGCGTGTCTCGGGCGCAAAGCAAGTCTTTCTCGAGCTGGGCCAAGGCGTCCTTCTCGGCCTGCTCGCAATCCATCTGCTCGATATTGCTGAAGAGCGTCGGATCCCAAGATAAGTTGAACAAGGACTTCCCATTCTTAACTCCATCCGCTGGTATGACACCCTCAGACGACGCCAGGCGCTGGGCTGCTTGCATCTTCTCGATCGTGGCACGAGCCAAGACCTTAGCCGCCTCAGACTCTTTGGTCTCTGCCGTCTCCAGCCTCTCGCGGAGCCGTCGGACCGCCATGACCGCCTGCTCGTGCTTGGTGTCGGCGTCTTTCCAGGCAGAGTGCGTCTGACGCACGAGCTCCGCTGGTGAGATGCCGTCATCTGGGCTCGGCGCGGACTCCGTCAACTTCTTGAGCTGCCTCTCCAAAGTGAGTTTCATCTCATCATCCGTGGACTGGGCGATGGCCGCCCTGAGACTATCCGCTAACGTAATGTCACCTCCCATTCCAACGGGCTGCGTCTTCAGGATAGACTTCGGACCTCTGCCATCACGCCCTTTGCCTGCAGGATCTTCAAAGGTGACCCGCCTTGGCGATTGGGATCGGGTCTTCGACTTCGGCACGAACAGACGTACGGGCCGACAACAGGTACCACACTTCCGATCCCTCTGCTCCAGCAAGTCATTGTATTCAAACGTGCCGCATCCTGCACATTTCGAGAATAAACGCGTCATCCTCGGCTTTCGCCGCCGCTAGAGACACCTGGATGTAAGAGTGGTGTCGGAACGGCGCCCCTCAAGCGCTCCGTGGAAGCACCGAGGTTGGGTGCGAGCTCACCAAAATGGTGCTCGAGCCCAAGTGGCTTGAGGGAGAAAAAAGGAGGAGTAGGAGGAGGAGAAAAAGGAGGAGGAGGAGGAGAAAAAAGAAGAGGAAGAGGAGGAGGAGAAACATGAGGAGGCGGAGAAAAAGGAGGAGGAGGAGGAGGAGGACGAGGAGGAGGAGGGGGGGAGGAGGAGGAGTATGTAGAGCGAGGCGCAAAGCAGCCGAAAAACAGCGCACGCGCGCGCGGCGGGGGGCCTGGTCCGCTCCACCGCCCTGCGGGAGGCTTGCAAACACAAGACCCCCCGACCGCATCTATGAACTCGAACTCCACGACCTCCGCGCCCACCAGCTCCTAGGCCTGGCTCCCGTGGCCCTCGGGGAAGGTTACGATGGGGTCATCGATCCGCCAACTCCTGGTCTGCTCCTTCTGCGCCTCCTCGGGCTCGCCCGCCGCCACCTCGAGGTCTGCCAGCGCCTGTGCCAGCGCCTCCGCGCGAGCAGTGCTCTCGCGGAGTTGGTCCAAGGCCATCCTCTCCTGCCGCACAGCCTCACACAGAGCACCTTCGGCGCGAGCGTCCTCGGCTGGGGACGCCGCACCGCCACCCCTGAGCTGCACCAGCGCCTCGGCCATCTGCACAGCGCGCGCCTTGCAAGTGCGGACGAGCTCCTCGGCGGTGCGCTCGCCCTTGCACGCCGACTCGAGGACAAGCCGCGCCCCGCCGAGAGCTCCTCCTCCATCATCTCCTTCATCGCCTCCACCTTCGTGCCCGAGATCTTCTTTGGAGTCCCGAAACGGTGCAGTGACGGACCGTGCGATGACCTCGAAATCACCCCAGGCCTCACCGCACGGTCCGTCACCGCACGGTTTTGGGACCCTGGGATCCCCTGTCGCCCGAGACATCCTCGGAGAGGGACTCGAGTCCCGAAACCGCGCGGTGACCCCGAATCCCCACCGACCCACCGCACGGCGTGGTCGCCGCCCCGTTTGGGGGCACCCGAATCTTCCTGAGAGCCTCGGGCATCGCCCGGGGCGGCGCCAACGACAGCGCCTCTCCTCCTCCTCCTCCTCCACCTCCTCCTCCTCCTGCTCCTCCTCCTCCTCCTCCTCCTCCTCCTCCCTTCCTCCTCCTCCTCCCTCCTCCTCTCCTCCTCCTCTCCTTCCTCCTCCTCCTCCTTCCTCCTCCTCCTACTTCCTCCTCCTCTCCCTTGGGCGAACAACCCGCCCCTCGCCCCTCGACCCACCCACAGAGCACCGCGCCCCTCTCCTTCTGCGCCGCCTTTTTGCGCCGCCACCGCCTTTTCACCATAGGCGCCAGGCGGCGCCGGCGCCGGTTCCGGGCGGGGCTCGGCGCGGGCCGCCGCCTCGTCCCCGAGCCTTCCGACGGCCCTGGGCAGCCTCCTGGCCGCGGTTTGGCGGCCCCCCCTCTCCCCGAACCTCCCCGAAGGGACTTTTTTGTTGCGGAGATGGAGTTAAGATGGAGGGCCGCGCGGCCCGGCGCGCGCGCGTACAGTCGAGGCGTTGACCTAAGGAGCCCTAAATAAGGAACCAGGCCCCTTTTTTTCATAAGTTAACCTTCGATTTCCTGCCTCGAAAACCTAAGGAAAGCCTGAGGCAAGCTGTGAAACACTTGAGGAACGCGGAGCCCCTCCCCAACGAAAAGGGTTCCTGCTTCAGGGCCCCGACTGCACTGCGCGCGGCGCTCGGCAGCTGTCCGGTTCGGGCGGCGCGGCCGTCGCCCAGCGCCCAGAGCCATCCCGGCCGCCCGGAGGGGGGACGCGGAGGGCGCGGCCACGCGCGCGGAGGGAGGAGGGAGACTCCAGGCGGCGCGCGGAGCGGCAATGGCGCTGGCTTCGGAAGCCAAAGCTCGAGAAGCTGGCGCTAAAGGGGGGGGGAGGGGGAGGAGGAGGAGGAGGAGGAGGAGGAGGAGGAGGAGGAGGAGGAGGAGGAGGAGGAGGAGGAGGAAGAGGAGGAGGAGGAGGAGGAAGAGGAGGAGGAGGAGGCGGAAGAGGAAGAGGAGGAGGAGGAGGCGGACGAGGAGGAGGAGGAGGTGGAGCAGGAAGAGGAGCAGGAGGAGGAGGATGATGATGATGAGGAGGAGGACTCGAGGACTCGAGAGCAGAGGGCACCGCAGTCGACTCGGCCGCCGCGGCCCCTGTGCCCGCGCACTCTGCGCGGGCTCCCGCCCGTCACCTGCGGGCCTTCTTGTTGGACTCCAGCATCATGCCGTAGGGGAGGCAGTGGCTATGGTTAAGATTGCCCGTCCACCCACAACGCCCGAATAATGCAAGCTGCGGAGACGCCCGAAATCGGTTAACGTTCCATGTGAACTTTACCCTGTTGGCGCCCGTGTGTCTGTTCACCCACGCAGTTAACAACCTCTGAACGAAACTTCCAATCCGCAAGCATACACACAACGAGGATACTGAAATACCACCAAGGCACGTGCTCTTGACGTGTGAATTTAGACAATGGGTACATATTGATAGCAGAAAAGCTGCCAACGAAGCAGAGTGGGGCCACCGAGACAACGCCAGCAAAATGCAAACCACTAAATGCGTACCACCGCCGTCTGCCTTGCTTGCCACATGGGCCTGGGCCAGGCTCAGCCATGTAAAAAAATATACCACTGCGCAAAAGCCAAATGTCCCACATGATTGAGGTACAAAGGGCCAGATGGTTGAACAAATGCTGAAGTACAGAGTGATGCCACTGAGACAACGAACAAATGCCAACCACCAAAGCTGCACAGACGTCTGCGTTACTTGCCGCTCGGGCCTGGGCCAGGCTCTGCCCCCAGCGATGCCGTGCATGATGTGCAGGACCGCAAAAGGAAATATGACTGCCGAAGTGTGCACAACAATGAGAAAGCCCCGCTCCGCCAGGTGCACCACCACCGCAGCCCCCGTTTTAACCATATGCCGAAACTCACACAAGTTTAAACGGGTAGAAGCCTGTGCTCTTGTGCTGACAGCAGGAACTTTTGCCAAAGCCCCTCAAGTCGCGGGCCGGGATGCTCCAGAATACTCCTTCATGACTGCTCCCGACGGTACGCGCCCTGCTGCCTCCCGGCTTGAACCAGCAAAACAAATGCCAGCTTGGGCCGAGACACGACTTGAGGGAGGAGGAGGAGGAGGAGGAGGAGGAGGAGGAGGAGGAGGAGGAGGGGGAGCAGGAGAAGGAGCAGGAGGAGGGGAAGGAGGAGGGGGAGGAGGGAGGAAGAGGAGGAGGAGCAGCAGGAGGAGGAGGAGGGAGTAGGGAGGAGGAGAAGGAAGAGGAGCAGAAGGAGGTGCAGGAGGAGGGCGGAGGAGGAGGAGGAGGAGGAGGAGGAGGAGGAGGAGGCAAACTCAAAGGGGGAGGAAGCAGAGGAGGAGGGGCAGCCGGGGGCGACGACAGCTGCGCTGGGAGCGTCCTGCTCGCTCTTGGCGGCCTCCCTCGCGCAGTAGGCCACCTCGGCTGTCTTCTGGTTCTCGCGCCGGGCCTCGTCGTAAGTCGGGCGTGTCCCCCGACAAGGGGATTTCCGACGAAAAATAAAACATACGCCAAAAAGACTCCAAAAGGGTCAAGCAAAACTCAAACAATAATCCCCAGACTATTTTTGACTATTTTTGAATACTCCCCGACTTAAGCCTTGTCGCATATCATCCTGAGCTGGTCCTGGTACTGCCTCCGGGCTCGGGTCATCTGGTGGAGAGCATTGTTTGATCGCGCGGCAACGAGCATGATGGGGAGGGGAAGGGCGGGGCGGGGAGGGGCACGAGGCAACGACCCCCCCCCGCCGTGTGGGTCTGGCACCCGACTGGTGCCGGGCGCGCTGCGGCAGCAGTGCCGAGGACGCACTGCAGGGAGAGTGGCGTACCGCTCGTGACGACCCAGAGGGTAAGAGAAGCGCCCTCGTGGGGCCAGCTCCGTCGCGGGAAGCGTCTGCCGCGCCGGCTCCAGTCTGTGGAGGGGCAGGGGGGGAGAGTCCTCAGACCTCCTCGCGTGGCGAGTGGCGAGTAAGAAAAAAAACAATGGAATGTCTGGGGGTGCCGACCGCGAAGTGCCGCTGGACCGAACGAAAAGTTCTGACCGGGCAGTGGTCCAGACCGTAGAGGGAAGACATCAATGTGCGCTCCCCCTTCTCCCCCAAATTCCAAGTGGGCACGCGTGGAGGAGACTGCGGTCGAAGTGCAACTCACAGACCCACCGCCAGCTCTTGAGCACTGGGGAGAGGGGCAGGCGTTGGCCGACGAATGCGGCAGGAGGGTACGCTGTTCTGCTCCGAGCCCGCTGTGAGGCAGCACGGAACTAGCGGAGGCCTGGGGGGGGAGGGGGAGGCGGCGCCCACGTCGCAGAGCTCTGCCACGCGTGCCGACGGGCGGAGGCGCTCGTGCCAACATGAGACCAGGCCGGGGCGAGGATAAAAATCGGGTGAGGGTACATCTGGCCATCGCTCGGACGTCCATTCCCTGTGTTTTTGTTCGGTTTCGTGCGTGGCTTTTTCCCCAAATGATCCAGGATGCTCCTCGATAGTCCTCGCCGAAGGAAAAATGCACACGTCCGAGCGACGCCAAGACATCTGGGCTCCGCGGTTCTGGAGGACGTCTCGGGCGCCACGGCCATCTCAGAGCGCTCCAGAACGCCCTGAGAGCGCTCCGGAACGCTCTGGAACGGATTCACCCTCCTCCTGGCCCCGTCCGACCCTTGCCCTCGCGTGCGGTAGGTTCGCGCGGCGTCGGCGCGCGCAAAGGTATCTGACACCGTGTCGATCGTTCGACCTCAAACCGATCGCGGCCCCGATCGTTCGAGGCTGAATTCCGTCGGGTCCCGTGGCGTTACCATGTCCCTCAATGCTTCTGTGTCCTTCCATCATGCGGAATTCAACCTGGAGCGCCTGCGCTGGCGTCGCTGGCGCGCCATCGCCGCATGAACCTGCAGCACTACAGCGGTGACGGGCGTCTGTGACAACGCCGACCTGTGCAGTCAAGCAGGGAGGGGAGGACAGGACAGGACAGAACATGCGCCGGACAACGTCCGGGAGGACTGCCCCATTAGGAGCTCGGCGGGGGCAGCGGAGCGCCGAATTTCCGGCCCAGACGTTCAAACGGCCTCGAACTGTGCCGTAAGGCAACTAGGCAGAGACGGGGGGGGGGAAGCGGCCGCGCTTTGGCGTCGGCGGCGAGGCAGGGGATGTCTGCGCGAGCGGAGAGGCCCAAACGGGGGTGCCGTGAGGGCGAACTGCGCCACCATGCAGGAGGGGGAGCAGGACGCGGCCGAGAGAGGGGGCGGAGGAAGCGAGCCGCTGAGGGGGACGGCCCACGCCCCGAGCGCGTGGGGGAGCGGCCGCGCAGGCAAGCCGTGCGGGGCGGCAGCTCCGCGAGGTCGCTGCGGGAAGCGACGCGCGCGGCCCCCCTCCCTGACAGCCGCCGATCTGATGCCGTTCCATCCGCGGCCCCCGAGGTCCCGACCGCTGCCAGGGGCCAATCCTTCGCTCCAGATCCAGGTCTGCTGGTCCCGAGGCCCGGAGACGGCTCCCAGAGAGCCGAAGTGTAGGAAGACCCGCCGGCTGTAGCTGCTGTGAAGGACAGAAACCTAAAGCTGAAATGCCACGACCCCCCCTCAAACAAAAAAAAACAAACTACAGAAATCTGGGCTCGCGGCCCGGCCTGGAGGGCCCGTGTCGTGCTGCGGCCCTTTGCTTAAGTCGGGCCTGTCCTCCTGAACGCCGAACGCCGCTGTGAGTCCACGGCTCTTATGGGCGTGGCCTGCAAAGGGTGTGTTTTGCATGATGGGCCGGCTGTCCACCACCAGCACCATAAGCTGGAGGGGGGGAGGAGGTGGAGGATGAGGAGGAGGAGGAAGAAGAGGAGGACCCCTCCCCCTCCTACTTGTGGTGGTGGCGGTGGAAAACAGGCCCACCGTTGCAACCCGCGCCCTGATCGATGGCAAACCGTACCCCAGCGCAGGTTCACCCGTGGCACTCGCCGAGGTTACCAGCCTCGAACGTATCCCTATCCCTAAGATTGACACGCCAAAAGGCGATGACAATCTTAGGGATCCGCCCTCAAAAAAAAGGGAATCCCTAAGATTGGCATCGTGATGAGGAGGTGCCCACCATATGGATATGGATATGTTCAGGCTGGTAAGCTTCCGCCATGGGGAAGAGATGACAGCTCCTTCGATCCTCGGAGGCGACGCCCTCTCCGGAACCCCTCTGCACATGCACCAGTACTCATATGCGGGCGAGAGAGCCAGGGCCAGGCAGCACCAGTTCGGAGCATGCGAGCATCACAGCGGGCATAGTGGCGATGCAAGTGGTTCGGATGTGGGCGGCGCGCTTGCTCTGGCGACGATAATCAAATAATTGGGTCCTTCTCCAAGAGCTCGCGCCGCTTTCTCTCCTGAGAGGAACAGACATTCTCATGTCAGAGAAAGAGAAGGAGAGAGAGAGAGAGAGAGATCAAAAGAGAGAGAGGGGGGAAAGACAAAACAAGTCCATGAAAGGTACATGCTCACCGCAAGTCGAACGCAACTTTTGCACAATGATTCGACCACATCGCAGCTCCCTTGGCCTGGTCGAACAACTCTGACCTCTTCGAATCGTTAGGTGGTGTCACACGGAATACGTCGCGCGCAAGTTCAAAGAAGCCGTTCGCTGGGGCACCACCGGGCATGGACAGCAAGTTATCGCAAAATGAACCTCGTGGGCGGTATCCCTGACCATGGTACCCGCCAGATGGCCCCAAGACGGCACAAGACACACCCACGACACACCCACCACACCCCGCAACGCCGCCAGGGCGGCCCGAGGTGGCTTCCAGAGGGCTTCCAGGCCGCGGCCGAGATAGCCTGCTGAGGGAGCCCACGAAGCCCAGAGGAGCCGGAGGCCTCCAAGACGGAACCCTGCCACCCGCCGATGCGATACGTGCCATCCGCGACCCCCAACCGCCCCGACGGCCTCCTCGGAGGCAGTCTTTGGGGCACGGGTCCATGTTGGATGGCACCCCCCAGGGCCCGAAGACGGCCCACGAAGGCCGACATCGAGGAAGAAACTCCGGTCGGGAAAAACAGAACTCGGCGGTGGACAAAACCCCCTTTAATAAACCTCCCTGTAGTGAAAACGGCCTGGACCGAAACCAACGGACCTGGACCCGCAAAAATGACGGCCGCGACGCCCTCTCGCGAACCGAAAACGGCCAATTCGCTAATCGACGTGTCAGGGTAGGTCTGCCCACCCCCCGAATGTTGGATGGCCTTCCCCCAGGGCCCGAAGACGGCCCACGAAGGCCGACATCGAGGAAGGAACTCCGGCCGGGAAAAACAGACAAAGGAGCTCGGACAAAAAGACAGGAAAGGGGCCAGCAGGCGGCGGCGCATCCTCTGCGTCCTCCCTCCTCCCCCCACGCCGCCCGCATACATATATATATATATATATATATATATATATATTGACAATATGCAAAACCCGTCCCTCACTCCCTCACACCCTCCATCACTCCCTCCATCTGTCCTCCCTCCTCCCTCCATCCCTCCATCCCCTCCTCCTTGATCCTTTCTACCCCTCTATGTATAGTTGCATCCTACATGAGTGCCCTCTGTCGCACCCGCATGCGTGTCGGCAAGGCGGGCCAGGCGTTTCGCCTGAGACCCCCCACTACTTGTATCCCTGAAGCTTGAAATCTGGAGCCGCCTCGAGAATGGAGGGCGGGTCGTTTTCAGCACGACATTCTCGCCTCAGCGCCGCGAATTCCTTAAACGGGCAACGCGGGCGGCAGGCGCGATCGCCGACGCCCGGCGCGGAGTCACATAGTCGGGCACGGCGCGATGCGGCGCGCAGCCGGCCCAGCGAAGTCCGTCACACTGCCGCCGATGCGGCGCAGGTCGCCCAGCAGCAGCATCGCCTGCCCGCGCGCCGGCGAGGGCCCCCGCCGCCATCGCCGCCGGGGTCCCCGCACGGCCGCTGCAGCGCAAGCAGCAGACCCGCCCGGGCCCCTGCACGGAGGAGCGGGGCCACCATCACCAGCCCGCGAAAAGCTCGGCGCGCCTGGCGCCAGCGCCGACGGGCTCGGTGCGGGGGCGCGACCAACGGCGGCAGGGCCCCGGCGCGGACGCCGCGCGAGCGAGAGCCCCTCTCCAGACCGCGCGCCAGACGCGCCAGCGGCGGCGCTGCGGAGCAGGCGCCGCCACCAGGGCGGCTTGCTAGACAGGCGCCTGCACCCGCTGCGCCGCCTCCCCCGACATCGCTCGGAGGTCCGTTCCCCGTACATGTTTCGGCTTGGTGCGTGCACGTTGCTCGCAAGATGGCCCCAAATGCTCCTCGATGGTCCTTGCCCCGAAAAATGCCCAGGTCCGAATGGTGCATTCCAGCAGCTCCGATTCCCTGCGGCGGGCGCGCACCGCATCGCTCGGCAGGGCCCACTGCGCAGCGGCGGCGCCAGCCTTGCCGTCAGCTGCAGCGTTGCAAGGGCGGTCGCGCTCGCTGACCCCCAACGCGCCGCGCCTCCGCCAGCATCTTGTGCGCTGGCAACCAGCGGTCCCGATGCCAAGGCGACGGGGTCGCCGACAGCGCGTCGCCGCCACGACAGCTGTCACCTGAGAGCACTGGGCAGTCTCCAGGCAGTGAACTGGCCCAGCGAGATTCCGGGCCTCGAGCCCCTCGCACCGCAGACCCCATGCCGCCCGCGCCCATTCAGCATAAAAAGTGTGCAGCAATTTCAAAGGTGGAGGGCGCGTCGTTGTCAGAATGTGGTTCCCTCCTCAGCGCCGCACGCATTCGTCTTGAAAGTTTGCAACCGCTTCAAGAATGGAGGGCGGCCCGCTTTCAAAATGTGTTTCTCGCCACCGCGCGCGCATTCGTTTATATACATTGTTGAATCACACCGCCGCTTCAAAAGCGGAGGAAGCCCGTTGACAACATGTGGTCTCGCGTTAGCGCCGCGCTCATTCGTCTTAACGTTTGCAACGGCTTCAAGTATGGAGGGCTTCCAGGTTTCCTTAAGGTGGCTCTCGCCTTAGCGCTGCACTTATTCGTTTTCAATGCGCAACAACTTCAAGCATGTAGCTCTCGCCTCAGCGGCGAGAACATATGCCTTGCAAGTTTGCAGCGGTTTCAGGGGTTCGTGTGGATGGAGTCCCAGTAATCGTGTGCTGGCACGATTTAGGTTTGTCAGGGCGCAACAATAACGCTGATTCACGGTGTTGACATCCCAAGAATACTGGGATGGTATGATTCTCGATTCTTAGGACGCAACAGTCACGTTCATTCCCAGCGTTGAAATCCAAGGAGTTGTGTTTTGTCTGACGGGTGTCTTCCGACGGGGCACGTCCCGCAACGAAAAGAAGAGGGATGTTATACAGGGAGAGCTGATTGCAACAGCATTGATACGTTTGCACTGGACCCTCCTCGCCCTCCTTCTCCTCCTCGTAAGGCCTTCGCAGGCTAGTTTATGAGAGCTAGTCTCAGCAGTTTTTAAAAGGGCTGAGCGAGCTTTTAGCGAAAGCTGCCTTAAGCCTTTTGCTGCAGCTGCGGACTGTGGTCACACAAATTGGTCCTCACGCCTCCTCCTCCTCCTTCCCTCCTCCTCCTCCTCTCCTCCTCCTCCTCATCATCCCTCCTCCTCCCCCTCCCCCCCCTCCTCCTTCTCTCCTCCCTCCTCCTCTCCTCTCATCCCTCCTCCCTCCTCCTCCTCCTCCCCATCCTCCTCCTCTCCTCTCCTCCTCTCCTTCATCCTCCTCCTCCTTTCTCCATCCTCCATCCTCCCTCCTCCTTCTCACCTCCACCCTCCACACTCCACCCTCCTTCCTCCACCCTCCACCCTCACCTCCATCCATCTCTCCTCCTCCCTCTTCTTCTCTTCATTGCCTCCTTTGACTGAGGCCCCCTCCCTTCCTCCCTCCTCCGCCCTCCTCCCTCCTCCTTCCCCCCCTCCTCCCCCCTCCTTCCCCCCCCTCCTCCTCCCTCCTCTCCCCCCTCCCCCCTCCCTCCCCCCTCCTCCCCGAGGACGGGGAGGCCTCGGGCAGGCGCCGCACGACGGCGGCGCCCCTGGAGGCCCGGGCCGCGCGCCCACCGGGGGGGAGGCGCCCCGGCAGGCGGCGCCGGGCGTCCTCCTGCTCCTGCCTCCGCTCCCGCGCCGCCAGCATGCGCCTCTCGGCCTGCTGCAGCTGCACCATGCGCCGGTCGTCCTCGGGAGAGGCCGCGGGCGCAGCCTCAAGTCGGGCGGGTCCCCCAGCAGGGGGGGATTTGGGGCGAAAGACAACGAGTACTCCAAAAAGTGCCCCCCTGAATGGGCAGAAGCCATCCACAGATCGTCCCCCAGACCATTTGTTTACCATTTTGTGATGTTCCTCCTGTAGAGGGACAGGCACGACTGAAGCCCAGCCCTCTCCGGGGGCGGGGCTCTCATCCGCGGCGAGCAGGGGGGGGACAAGGTGAGCAGGCTTCGGATAGGGGGCCACATGCGAACCCTACCCCTACCCCCCACGATTTCTGAGGGGGAGGGTGGGGTTCACTTCGCTCGGAAGTTCCCGAACGCAGTGAACCCCACCCTCCCCCTCAGAAATCGTGGGGGGTAGGGGTCGGCTTCGCATGTGGCCCCCTATCGGAGGCGAGGTGCGAGGCTCGGGGGCGTTCTCGTCGGCGCTCGGCGGCCTGCCGGCTTCGGGGGTGCACGCCAGCAGCTGCGCCTCGCCGAGAGCGCTCGCCGGGGGCGCCTGAAGCTCGTGCCGAGGGGGCGCCGGACGCCCGAGTCATGGTCCGAAGGCCAAGTTCGAGCGCGCGCCCGGGGGGGAGGGAGGAGGGAGGAGGGGAGGGAGGCGGGAGGGAGGGAAAGGGAGGGAGGGAGGTGAGGGAGGGAGGGAGGGAGGAGGAGGAGGAGGAGGAGGAGGAAAACACGGGGTGCAGAAGGGTCGCATCCGCGGGCGGCGCCCAAGCCATGACCCGAAGGCCAAGTTCGAGCACGGCCTATTCTCAGGAGGCGGCGGGGCTTCACAGAAGGCCTCGGGCCTTCTGAGAAGCGTTTTTTTTTTTTCTGTGCCTTCAACAGGGCTGAACCTAAACGGTGTTTTTCGTTTTCGTTTTGTTTTCGTTTTCCCTCGTTTTGTCTTCAATCCACCTTTACCGCAAAACGAAGTCGAAACGACAACGGCCCACGAAATCGCCAAAATACAGTTTATATAGGTCCAGCCCTGGCCTTCAGGGAAGGCTCGGACGCCTTCTCAAAAGGCAGGGGGGGCTTCACGAAGGCCCGCCCCTTCTCACTTCCCCCGGGCTCGCCGCCGACGTTTCGGGGCGCGAGCTGGACAGCTGGAGGCCCAAGAGATCCAGGACAACTCGCGTCCAGGATACAGTCGGGGCGTTGACCTAAGGAACCCTAAATAAGGAACGAGGCCCTTTTTCCATAAGTTGAACTTCGATTTCCCATCGAAAACATAAGGAAAACCCGAGGCAAGCTGTGAAACACTTAAGGAACATGGAGCCCCTCGCCAACGAAAAGGGTTCCTTCTTCAGCGATCCGACTGTAACTCCCAGTCTGGGCCTGCGAGGCCCGAGTCAGGAGCTGCCCCTGACCACCCCCAGCTCTGATGATTCGTGGCTCTGGAAAAAAGGCTTCCCGTACCTCTTGTTCTCGTCTTCCCTCGCTCTGCCTTCATTCCGCCTCTGCTGCGAGACGAGATCAAAACGGAAACGGCCCACGGCATCGTCGAACCACTGCTTAACTCGCCCCCTGGTGACCTTTTCATCCCCGGCGGGATATCATATAGCCCTGAGATGTTCGGCTGTTGCAATTATTGCCACGGGGCGCATTTCCGCCCCGCTTCGGGCCCCGAGACCACCACATATCGATCTGCCCCCCGGAAGAATCCCGCAGAAAGGTCGGTGCGGGGCGGGAATTGATCCATATCCACCGCCTGGGAACCGACGTCCTGGTGCCCCGGCGGGCGGTGGATATGGATATATCTCGGCCCCCAGGGTCCCGAATATATCCATATCCACCGCCTGTGGAGGTCCGCGAAGATCGACCCCCAGGCGGTGGTTATGGATAAATTCCCGCCTCGGAGTCTAGTCTGGGACTCGGGTCGTGATGTTTCGCCACGTCGCACTCTTGGCCGCAGCGCCGGCTGCCTGGTGCGGGGTCCTGCACACTTATAGAGGCCTCCTAGGTGGGGTCCGAATAGATGTGATCGGAGGATTCCGCTGCATCGCCAATGCATCGTCGATGCATCGGCGATGCATCGGCGATGCACGGGCAATGCACCAGCGCCGCCGGAGATGCATCGGCGACGTCGACGTGGAGGCAGTCGGGCTCGCATCGAGCCGCATCACCGGTGCATCGGCGATGCTGCACGATCCTCCGACCTCACCTGGGAGGCCCATAGAACTCAGGGGTGAGGAGGAGGAGGAGGAGGAGGAGGAGGAGGAGGAGGAGGAGGAGGAGGAGGAGGAGGGGGCCCCCCGCCGCACGCCGGTGCCGCGCGAGGGCGGCGGCCTGCACGCCTGGCGCGGGCCTGGCCCCCGCACGCGCCCGGAAGGCGCGCACTGCAGAGGTCACCCTCGGCGCCTGCGGATCTGTGAAGGGGCCCCAGGACACACCAATAAATACACACAAATAAAAAAGATTCCCCATATTTTCCCATATTTTCTGGGTTGCTGTCTTCCCCCCCCACTTCCCATATTTTCCAATATTTCCTGGGGAATCGAGGATTAATTGTGTCTGTGTGTTTCTTTTCCTCCTGAATCTGACTTGTTTGATGCGTACCCCCGACGCACGAGCGGCAGAACCAGCCTCGAACTGATCCCTATCCCTGAGACTGACACGCGAAGAGGCGATGACAATCTCAGGGGTGCACCCTCAGAAACTGAGGGGATCCCTGAGATCGCCATCGTGACGAGGCGATGCCCAACAAAGGGATAGGGATAGGTTCCAGGCTGGTAACGACAATCAAAAATTCGGGGGCGCGCAAACATGGATTAGCGATCCATGGATTTGGCGCGCGGTCGCCAAATCCATGGATCGGGGGAGGCACCCTCCCGAAAATGTGGCCGGTGCCGCCTCACTCGGCGGCGGAAATCCGCGATTTCCCATCGTAACGGGACCCGTCGCCAGTCCACGCCCCCTTGATCCATGCTTGCGATCGCCGAGGTGGCACAGCGACCTTACGCGGTGGCTTGCACGGGCCGCCCGCGCGGCACGCTGCATTGGAGACGAGGGCGCTCACGCGCGACCTTACGCGAGCAGCTTGCGCGCCAATGTCGGCGCAGACGTCGCTCACATGAGGCCAGCGCCGCCTTATTTGGCGACAGCGCGCGCCGGTGTTGTACGGCGGGGGCATTGAAGAGGAAACCTCGGATAAGAAATTTGGGATCTAGAGGCCAGTGGAACTCCGATCGTGGATCGGCCATGGATATCACCGACGCCCTCATCAGACAAGGAACCCTCCGGGGTTTGACGCCTCCTGGGCACATTCCAAAACAAACGCCCCCACCGTATGGAATCGGGACCCGTCGCTGCTCCACGCGCCTTAATCCATGGTAGCGTTCCATCGACTCCCAGGGGGCAGCTCGGCGCCCTGGATCCATAATTATGCTTGATGGCCTGGAGACTGGCGGCAACGGCCCCCAGAGAGCCCGAGTCTGTGAAGCACCCGCAGGTTGATCAAACAAAAATCGGCTGGCCCTGTGGGCGTGGGTTGGAGGCTTGTGGTGTGAGCGGGCTCCTCCTTGCTTGCTGACCGACGTCTGACTGTCTTGGACCACTTGGCACGCGCGGACTTACAAGTGCGTGAGTGGCTCAGGCGGCCGCGCCAACCCGAAGGGGCAGCGCCAATCAGCCGAGGGACACGTACGCCAAATCTGAGGGACATCGAACAATCTCGTTCGGTGGCAACTCATGGGAGCCTCCCATACCATCTTGTCGGCTCTTGCGAGTCGACGCTAGCCGACGCTAATCGACACTGAATCGACGATGGTCGACGCTAACCGACGCTAAATCGGCGCTACCTCATCGACTCGCAGGCCCCCATGACTTGCCACCGAAATCTCGCGATTACCTCGAGGGGGAAAACCCCTTCACTGACTACCTACCAGACCATCCCAACCCAACCCGAAGACCCGAATTCCGGGTTGAGGGGGATATGGGCTCCATGTGTGTTTTGTTCGATGTTCCCGGACCCCCCCCACTGGAAATGGAGGGCAAATTGAAGCCTTCGGGTTGGATTGGGGTGGTTTGTCGGGCCGGGCGAAAGGGGGGGATAGCAAAGGGGGGGTTTGAGAATCAGCTCACGTAGCTGATTTTCCAGGCGCCGGCCGGGAGGCGCCCATGTATCGAGGAATGGGCCTGGCGGCGGGGCCGAAACCAGCTGCATGTAGCAAATTTCGTAACCCCCCCTTTCCCTATCCCCCCCTTTCGTCCGGCCCGAGTTTGGTGGGTGGTGATTCACGTTGATCCCTCCCCCGCCAGGAGTGGGGGGGGGGTAAAGGGGGCGGGGGAGGGGATCGTCCCTGCCTCCCTTCTCAAGAGCACGGGGACTTGGCGAAGTACACGCCGGTCGGAAGAAGTAGGTAGAAACATGAAGCAGGAGGGCGGATATAGTGCATCGGGCCCAGGCCCTCCCAGAGAATAACACAACACAGCAGAAGCATGCCGATTCTAGAAGTAGGAAGGCGCTTGAAGAAGAGATTGGGACCTGGGAATCCAAAAGCACCTACTTTCAACGACCGGCGTGTGCTCCCCCCCTCTG